ACGCGCGAGAGGCATATAAAAAGCCAGGAGAGCACCTGATGGCCCTCTCGCCCTGTGCAGAGGCTAGGGGGCTCTTCCTGCAAAGTTTGCCGAGACCCAGCAACCCGAACTCGCATTCGTGAGCCCTGCAAGCACGATGAGACCCCTTGCTCAACGGAGAAAAAAGCCCCTGAATGAGTAAACCCACTCCTCTAGGGCCTCGGGGGCTACACCCGGCGGGTGCGCTCGCGCGCACCCACCAGAACCACCAAGTACAAAACACGATCCCGACAGGAGCTGTTGCGAACCAAGTCTCATCAAAAACCTCAGGAGAGTGCCCGCACTCCTCCCGAGGCTCGGGGGCTACTGTCGGATACCACAAGAAGGGGTACCCTAAGCAAGATCCAAGAATATTGCTTAAGCCTTGCTAAAACCAAAGCCAAAAGACTACTGCAAGGTCTCGGCAGAATTCTCCGATTCGCCCGAGGCCTTGCGCCGAGGCCTCATCTTGAAAATTGGCCTAAAATGTCCCACCGAGGCCCTCTCGCCGAGACCCTCTCGCCAAAGCCTCGCCCCGAAAGGCCGCGGACAGATCTCCAATTCTCCGATTCGCTCGAGGCTGGCTCGGCGGACGTACTCGTAACCTCCGTCCCGACCGAACTCCTGGCAAAATGTCATGTCCGGATTAAATGCACCCAACCACTCCCGCAAACGTCAGCCGCATGCAGGTACAGTGCGGGCAGAACAACTGATAGGACAGGGACCGGGCACAGCAGGGGTTACCTGCCACTATACTCACCACTATGCTCCCCCCTGACACTTATACTGCCCTGTGCTACCTAACCCCTGCGCCAAGGACAAAACAGCATGGAAGGTCGAGTCCATGTCCCTGTAGCCTCAGAAACAGCAGGAGAGCCCAGCTGCTCGGTCTCTGCCTCGTTCGAGACCCCCCGGCAAGGCCTCGGACGCGCCATTCCTTCTCCGCCTCAGCCGAGGCCGGGCTCGTCCCGCATTCTCGTCACCTCCGCCTCAATTGCCCCTTTGGTGGGTCGTCCCATCCGTGTAAGTATCCCTAGTTACGCCTACGTCAGCCACGATTGGCAGGGTATGGCAAAAAGGGCGATGGGACGGCGGTCAAATCACCTTTTTACCATCCCCCACTGATGGTGCAGAGACTACGGCTCCCTGCGGACGCCCATTCCACACTTTTTCACTAGAATCGGGTACCACACAGACCACCGAGACCCCTGCGTCGTACACAGGTCACCTCCGAGGCCTCGGCAAAGAAGGCCTTGGCACGATCAGCTCCAGCACCCGCTAGGCCTCGACACTCCACCAGGACAAGAGTCCACCAGGCACGGCATGTCACCTACAGTGGAGGCCATACTGACTAGACGTCAACAAGGACTCTTACGACTTCAACAGCCTCAGGCATGGCCTGCATGACGCACCGGTGATCAAGTACCAATTGCCATTCCCTACACTGTGCTGCTACAGGAATAGGCCATAGTACTGGATCTTCCTTCCTCGCTAAGGCTCCATGTGTAGCTCTCTCATGTACTCCTGGCTCCCTCCTTGTGGCTATAAAAGGAAGCAGCTAGGGCCATTTCTAGGGATTGAAATCACGCCAGCCCTCACGCAAAAACACACTCACTCAATTCACGTGCGCTCCCACGCTGCCTGAGAGCAACGACTCAAGCAGCCCGCACCATACCACACCGAGACCTAGAACTAGCTCCCTCTCTCACCCAGCTTGTAACCCCCTACTACAAGGACTTCGGTGCAGAGAATACAAGATCAATCTCCTAGACTAGACGTAGGGCGCCGATTGCTTGAACCAGTATAAACCTTGTGTCTCTTTGCATCACCATCCGGGATTAGGGGCACGCAGTTTACATTTATTGGTTGGTTGAGGACCCCCCGGTCTGAAACACCGACAGTATGTTCGAAATGTTTCAGTTGTTTCAATCTTATGTTGCAGTAAGTGTTTTTATGTTGCAAGTGTTTTATCTAGATGTTGCATATGTTTCACATATATGTTGCAAGTGTATATTCCATATGTTTCATCTGCTTTTAGATTTATGTTGCATTCAAGTGTTGCATGTTGCAAGTGTTTCGTGTTTCATAGGTATGTTCATAGAGTCACGGGGACACGCCCCGGGCCGACGCTAGGGGAAGGGGCACGGTGAGCCAGGAGCCGACAGATGGGGTGCACGATGCGCCTGGGGTCCTACGAACGGGGCATGCTCGTCCTCGTTCGGGCTCTCAGGTCCCGCCCGCACAGAGAGAAGAGGGGGTCACGGGGAAGGAGTGGCGAGCATAGCCGGTGTGTGTGTGCGGAGGAGGGACACGCTCATTTGCTCCGGACGGGCACCAGTAAGCCCCTACCTCATAAGGTTTTTAAGCCACGAAAAATGCCTCTAAGCGTCTTTTTTTTTGAAAAAACCTAGAAATAGATTAGGACAAGATAAACACAAATAAGATATTTATAGAACGTGAAAGTATCTCTACAAATTTCCAAAAAATACATTTAGTTATAGGAAATAAGACAAATATCTAGAAAAAATTGAAAAGTTTCCAAAACATTCTAGTCGATGTTTAAATACATTCCATATATTTTAGAGTTGAGAGGATAAGAGATCAAATTTTATCTCCTACAACTAAAAAGAACAAAGTGTGGATATTTTTTGGTGCAACATTTGTTTTGGTTCGTCCGTCAGCCCACGCCTACGATCCCACGATATCTTAATTACTGATTGATCATGCCATTCTCCTTGATTGAATATTACCTGTCATGTGATAGAGGAATCACGGCAAAATAGGAAGTAGAAAATTATTGTACTATCCATATACACATTGCATGTTTGCATGCACCAACATACATGGCAACGAGCAAAAGGAAAGAGAATTAACACAGAAGGAAAGAGAATTAAGACAAAAGGAACCTCTTTGCATTTCTGAGAACCTTGCTAAATCTGCCTACATTTAATTACTTTCTCTCTTTGCATTTGCAAAAGGGACAACTTTTTTCTTCTTTCATTTAGTTTCACGCTCATGTGTTTCATCGTCCTCGCTTGCTGTTTCTTGCGTGAACCATAGTTGATGTCATCTGTCTTCCATGGCTCAGCCTCCTAATCCCAAGAGAAGATCCCTACCTCTCCCTGACTGGAGATCTGGCCTGCTAGAGGATCTCCTCGAGTCCATCGGGCAGCGTCTCGCGTCAGGCCACGGCGCGGCGTCTTTCCGATCCGCTTGCTCCCCATGGCGCGCCGTCGCCCCGTTCGCGACCTTCGGACCGCTCTTGCTGCTCCCGTTCGACCCCGACTCAGACCGTGTCGGCTTCTACTGCGTCCCGGAGAAGAAGGTCTTGTCCAAGACGCTGCCCGACGTGCTCGGCAAGGTGGCATGTGGCTCCTCGTGTGGGTGGCTGGCGCTTATGGACGAGGCGGCGTCTATGACGCCGCTGAATCCATTCGTCGGTGCCCATGCCCCCCGCGTTGAGCTCCCGCCAGCAGGCGAACACGTCGCGGTGGCGTCCTCATCGGAACGCGTGTCTAGGGTCCACGACCGGTGGGTCCTCCATCCCACTAATGGCTATGGGGACGCGGATGCCACAGGCAGAGCCATCAAGCTAGAAGGCATGAGGGATGTGTTCTTCCTTGAGATCGTGCTCTCGGTGCCGCCTGACGCCGTCTACCGCGAGTGCGTGGCCATGGCCATGCTTGGGTGCTCCACGGAGGTCGCGTTCTGCCGGGTTGGAGTCGACAGCGCATGGACGCTGCTCGACACCAAACTGGAGTTCTTCGTGGGGTCCATCGTCCACTGCTAAGACAAGTTCTTGGCGATCGACTACACTGGAGAAATCTCCGTCTGCAGCAGCAACGTCGCCGGCGCTACTCCAACCGCGCTGCTGCTGCCATCGCTGTCGCCACCTACGGGGCTCTGCCACCGCTGCTATATGGAATCAAATGGTGAGCTGCACATTGTGGGTGCCATGGTGAGCACGTTCCACGAGACACAGAGCTTCACCTACAGCAGCGCGATCTATAAGTGCAACCTCTACGACCGTACGCCGGAGTGGTCCAAGGTGAGGGACATAGGTGATCAGACACTGTTCGTGTCTAAATATTTCAATGAAAACTTCAGTAGAACAAGTGTATCCAAGTACAAGGAGAACAAAATCTACATGTCTAAGCCATTGTATGGGGATCCATACGACTTGGTCCATCGACTGGAGATCATTGATATTGCTACCCGCGCATCCAAGTGAAGCCCGTCCAGGAAAAGATGCAGGGTTCCGAGGCTCTAGGTTGGATTCGACCCAATCTCTGGAAGCTCTAGAGTTTGTGAGCTCATGACGCCACAAGCACTCACGTGGTATGTTAAATTCATAAACTTTGCCTTTTGGATTAAATATCACTTTAACGTTGGTATTTAATTTAACGAAGATTGTTATCTATCGTATGATCCGTGTGTTTTTAGTATAAATTGTTAGTTATCTCGTAGCAACATACATCTGCACGATCCGTGTGTTTTAGTATAAATTGTTAGTTATCTCGTAGCAACGTCACGGACACGCTACCTAGTAGAGTATAATAAGGAGAGAAAAATAGACTAAGACAATGTTTCAAGGATGTAAAACAGGCTTACAAAACTGGTGGAAAGGAAATGTGACCCTGGCCCAACCCACGACGTGTTGGAGGCTTTCCCTATCCAGCAGAGAGCGGCCCAGCAACCCAATTCCCTCCACCTGAACCTGATTGTCGTCCTCTGTGGCTCTGTCCAAACTCCAAAGAGGAGGCGGCGAGACGCACCGCGGCTCCGTCGAGCCCAAGTTGTCTCGCTGCCGGCGGGACCCACACTTCGGCGACACAGGCCCTTCGCTTTCCCTAGTCGGTCCGGCCACTTGACTTTGCTTAAACCCTCCTCCTCTCCCTCCGTCTCCTCCCGCGCCGCCGCCCCCGCCGCAAAACCCTAGCTCCGACGACCCCCCGCCGTTGCCGCGGTCACCATAACCAGCCATGGCTTCGACGCATGTTCTTAAGAAGAACTACCGCTGCAACCGCTCCCTGCAGCAGTTCTACACTGGCGGGCCCTTTGCGGTCGGGCTCGCCCCCGGCGGCGACGGCGAGGGCGGCGCCGAGGCTGAGGCCTTCCTCGCGTGCGCATGCGGTGGGGAGGTGCGCGTGGTGTCCGCCGCGGACGCCTCCGCCATAGGGGAGCCCGTCGACGGCGACTCAGAGGCCATCACCGCGCTGGCGCTGTCCCCCGACTCACGGCTCATCTTCGCCGCGGGGCACAGCAGGCTTATTAGGGTCTGGGACCTCGCGTCCCGAACTTGCATACGCAGCTGGAAGGTGAGTATTGAGCCGTCCTGTGTTTTGTGGTGCTCCCTGGTATCCACATTGCTGTGCACGGATTAGTGAATTCGACCACAGGAAAGCAATTTTATGTGAATGCTGCTAGATGACCCTGTATCTAGCTATAAAGTAATCCGGAGCTTATTCACGGCATAACAAAAATCTCGGAGTTCTGGTAGTGGTTTGACAGTTTGAAAGATAGCTCAAATGTAGCTGCCACGAGCTTAGGAAGCTTGTATCCTTGTGTGAATGTCAGAACTGTCAACTGCACATATTCTAAGCTATTCAGCTCTTCAACCTGTAACATTATTCGTTAGATGTTTTGGTTACAGTGTGTTGGTAGGGATAGGGGTCATTGTATAGTAACCGAGGGAAGTTAAATGGATTGAAGTTTTAGAAGCTCGTCAAGAGCTTTGCAATAAATCTATGAGACCCTAGTAGTTTCCTTACAAAAAGCATTTTGTTGCACACGTCTAAAATACCATAACTCATGCACTGCTTTTCATAAATTGTGATTTGTGCGAAGTTAAATTAAGAGTCTGTCTACCTGGCTTTCGGGTGTTTCATCCAGTTCCAACACATGATTTTTTTTTCGACCGTACATGAAGATCCAACGCCTACAGCTCTTCTTCTACCTCCAGTGCCACTCCAGCTCCGGCCCCCGCTGCCCGGCGAGCGCTCTGCCGCCGGTGCGTGGCCCGCCTCTCCCCCGGTTACTCCTTGGCACAAATCACAAATCACAAGAAACAATTTTTTTCTATGAAAGGACAAGGACAAAATTTGGGGGAGAGGCTCGCCGGAACCCTAGCCACTGCCGCCGTCGTCTTTGGCTCCGGTCGACACAGATCTAGGAGGAGGACGAAGAAGAGGAGGGAGCAGGGCGCGACCTGGGGGAGGCGGCAGAGGGAGCAGCGGCCGGCCTGCGGGAGGCGGCCGGGCTGGGGCGGCGGCAGAGGGAGCAGCGGCCGGCGGGGAAGCAACGGCCAGGCGGGGTTCCTTCGAGGCGACGGCGGCGGCGGGCGCGTGCTTGTGCGGGTGTGAGCGATGGCCTGGGTGTGGTGCGAGCGATGCAGCTGGGTGGGTGGGTGAGATGCGAGCGACGTAAGATCCAACGGCCAGAAATTCGTGTGTCACCGGACTCTAAAACACTCGGTCATCCATTAGCATTTCTGTAAATTAAATGTGATGCTGTATTGTAATGTCTTAGTGTTACCTTCTTATCTTTTCTGTTTAATTTTGCAAAGATAGATGATACCGTTGTTATTTCCACTAACCACCGTGATGTTACAATCAGACATACTAATTTGTTACAGAGCATGTGCACAGCTTTTCAATTTTTCATTGTTTGATCTTAATCCTGCCATACTGATTGTTGTGTTAATTAGTTAACTTAGAGACTGTATGGCTGATTTACCACTACAGGCTAACATCTTTTACAATTAAAACTTGCTCATGCCATTATGTTAATAATACTATGCTAGTATACTGCCATGTGAGGTAAACTAATGTATTTAACTTATGCCGTACAGGGACATGATGGTCCTATCATGGCCATGGCATGCCATGCTTCTGGTGGTTTGCTTGCAACTGCCGGAGCAGACAAGAAGGTCTGTGTATGGGATGTCGATGGTGGATTTTGCACCCATTTCCTTAGAGGCCATACAGGCGTTGTGATGACCATTATGTTCCACAAAGATCCAAAGCGCCTTCTGGTGAGGACAATTTGAAGATAAGGAATTGTGCTTTTATTGAACTGGATCACCGAAAATGGCTCTGGGAGCTTGCTAGTTCAAATCACTGCATTATTTTTATGCAGTGTATTCCACTTCCTTTTGATGAGCCCAAGATAACCTATGTGTGCTGGATCTCCAGTTGTTTTCAGGAAGTGAAGATGGCACCGTCAAGAGTGTGGAACCTTGAAACCAAAAAATGTGTTGCTGTGCTTAAAGAGCATTTTTCGGCAGTCACTTCATTGACATTGTCTGATGATGGGCAAACATTGCTCAGTGCTGGGAGGGATAAGGTATGAATGGTTTCATGTCTATTATTCATTCTAGAGCTTTCATTCTGCTATCATTACATATGTTTTAAAGTGAAACATTTATGCTTCCCTTGTACTGGAATATATTAATAATCCCTCCGGTCAAAAATGCTTGTCAAATTTGACTTTGCTTGGTCTTTGATGTCTATCTTTGACCAGCAATTTTTTTCTTAAAATCCTTCAAATTTAAGAGATTTTGCAGGCATTTGATTACAAATCTACACATGTTTCCAAACTGAATAATGTAATAGTTATTTATGTCTGTAGGTTTTTAGGTTTGACCAAATTTTGTCTTAAACGACATGTTTTTGTGACCGGAGGTAGTATATTCTTAGGGCTCTGTGGGCTCTTCAGAACTATATAGAGTAAGTTGAGGGGCTCAAAACAGTCAAAACTTGCTGGAAGTGTCAGAAGTTGAAGCTCTTCCTCCCATTTTGTGTGTTGACCTTTGTGCTCAAAAAGTGGTGGTCATAGGAGTACCCTTTTTGCTTGATTTTTGATATTTCTAACGTAGTCTTTTACTGTGGTGTGCATTTTCTGTGTGTTATTCTGAATGTATGGAACATCTGCAGATTGTTACTGCATGGGATATTCGTAAGTACAGCTCAAAGAGGACAATACCGACATATGAAATGATAGAAGCTGTTTTCTTCATTGGATCAGGAAGTGAGCTCTTGGCTTGTTTGGGCATAGAACTGGCAAATATAAAGGAGAAAGCGGCCGGTTATTTTCTTACAGTTGGTGAACGTGGGGTCGTGCGCATCTGGTGCTTGGAGAGGTACATTAGTTTGCATTTACATTTTCTTTGGTTCTTTGCATATTTCTGTAGTACATGCAATCAATGGCTTTTCTGGTCTTCTACAGTTCTCTTTGCGTGTTCGAGCAGCAAGCATCTGATGTAACTGTTAACTCAGAGAACGAGGAAACCAGGAGGGGCTTTACATCTGCTGTTATGTTGCCAAATGATCAAGGATTACTATGTGTTACTGCTGATCAGCAGTTTTTGTTCTATTGTCCCAAAAGAACTGATGATGGGACCTTTGAACTGTCCCTATATAGACGACTAATAGGTTATAATGATGAGATTCTTGACTTGAAGTTTGTTGGGGAGGAGGAACAATATCTTGCTGTAGCTACCAACTTGGAGCAGGTGAGCTATTCATAAATGATGTCTGCACAGTTCTTGTTGGCTAATGTACTTGAAACTTATCAACTGTTACCTCCATATTCAGGTCCGTGTTTATGATGTTGCGTCGATGTCATGTTCTTATGTACTTGCTGGCCACACCGAAATAGTTGTTTGCATTGACACCTGTGTCTCTGCTTCCGGGAAGACACTTGTTGTAACTGGGAGCAAGGATAATACTGTAAGTTGTGATGTCTGGAACTGAAAACTATGTTGACTTACCCTAACGTTTTTGTTTGTGGTTTCTTTTGATAATCCTCACTGCTGTCGAGTGCATTCTTGTGCTGCTTTTCCTATTTTTTGAGTGTGACCTTTTGTACACAGGTGAGGTTATGGGATGCTGAAAGAAAAAGCTGTATTGGCATTGGCAAAGGCCATCTGGGAGCTGTTGGTTCTGTTGCCTTCTCAAAGAAAACAAAGAACTTTTTTGTTAGTGGCAGCAGGTTTGCTCTTCAGTTTGTATGTAATCTTTGTTTGCCTGAAGTGACACCAAAATTGTTATTCTGAAATCAGACTATCTTTTTGTTAGCGATCGAACCATCAAGGTATGGACCTGGGACGATACACTTAGTGATGCTGAAGATGAAGTCCCTCTTAAAGCTAAGGCTGTTGTAGCTGCACATGATAAAGATATTAATTCTCTGGCAGTTTCACCTAATGATGGCCTTGTTTGCAGTGGTTCTGAGGTAAGATGGTAGCATGATACTCCATTTATCCAAATTATAGGTCACTTGGTTTTGTCCTAAGTCAAACTTCTCTAACTTTGAGCATGTTTATTGAAAAATTCACTATATCTACAACATTAAAATAGTTTCATCAAATCCACCATAAAATATATCTTGATACTTTTTTTGGTATTATATATGCTAACATATTTTTTTTCTAAAAACTTGGTCAGAATTTATAAATTTGGCTTAGGACGGAGCTAAAATGACCTACAATTTGGAAAGGAGGGTGTAGTTCTTTTTGATGTGACACATCCTTTTATCTAGCTTACATCATGTGGTTTTCATTATATATTATCACCTTTATTTTGTAGGACCGAACTGCTTGCATATGGAAACTCCCTAACCTAGTGTCCTCTATTGTCCTTAAGGGACACAAAAGAGGAATCTGGTCAGTTGAGTTTTCTCCTGTTGAACAATGTGTCTTGACATCCTCTGGTGATAGAACAATCAAAATATGGTCCGTTGCTGATGGCTCATGCTTGAAGACATTTGAGGGTCATACATCAAGTGTTCTGCGAGCTTCTTTCCTTTCACATGGAACTCAAGTTGTTTCTTGCGGTAATAGAAAATAAGATGTTCATCTAAGTTATTATCTTTAGAAGGGCGGGCCTGGTGCTAGCGGTAGAGTCTTACCGCCTGTGTCCGGAAGGTCCCGGGTTCGAGTCGCGGTCAGGCGAGGGTAAGGCTTGCCACTGACACCCTTCCCCAGACTCCGCACAGAGCGGGAGCTCTCTGCACTGGGTACGCCCTTTATCTAAGTTATTATCTTTAGCCTTTAGGGAGTCTTGTTGACTCTGTTCTTCTGATGTTCCTTAATTCAGGAAGTGATGGTCTAGTGAAGTTATGGACAGTCAAGACAAATGAATGCATTGCTACTTATGATAAGCATGATGGGAAGGTATGATATCATTGCCATGCATCAGGGTAGAGTTTTTTTTTCTGTCTCATTGCTGGAGGGGACTCAAAACTCACTATTATCTTTTCCACAGGTCTGGGCATTGGCTGTTGGCATGAAAACTGAAATGGTTGCTACTGGTGGAACTGATTCTGTCCTCAACCTGTGGCATGATTGCACCATGGAAGATAAGCAGGAAGATTTCCGTAAGAAGGCAAGTGAATCCTTCTGTTACACTTTCAGCATAATATATACTCCCTCCATCCCCAAAAGGATGCAATTCTGGAAAAGTGTCACGTTTTAGTATACCAAGTTTGACCAATTATAGATAAAAAAGTATAAATATTTATAATATCAAATAAATATCATTAGATTAATTACGAAATGTATTTTCATAATAAATTGATTTGAAGCCATAAATGCGAATACTATTTACTAGAAACTTGTCAAATGTGAATCACTTTAACTGGCGCGCATACCATAGTTGCATTCTTTTCAGGACAGGTAGTAATTTGCAAACAAGATGTGCTTGCTTTTATGTAATATATATTGCTGGAAGGAAAACTGTGAAATACCTGACGTTAGACCTTGTGTAAAGATGTGGGCTTGTATATCATTGGCATATGATATATCTGTGAGTTTACCATATTCTTGATATATTCATCTTTGCCTCTGTTTGTTGGGTTTAGGGATCTATACAGGCATATGTCACTATGTCAGGCATCTGCAACACTCACTCAAATTCTACATTTGCTGCAGGAGGAAGAGGTTTTAAGAGGCCAGGAATTGGAAAATGCTGTGTCAGATTCTGACTATGCAAAGGCAATACAACTTGCATTTGAGCTTAGAAGACCACACAGGCTTCTAGATTTATTCTCACAGCTTGCCAGGTACTATTTCTTGATTCGAATGAAATCAGCCGCTTTAAATTATTAACATGATGTATACATCATTGGGTTTGCAGGAGAGCTGATGCAGAGGATCCAATAGAAAAGGCTCTTCTTGGTCTTCCAAAGGATGGCCTCCGCGTGCTTCTTGAGTATGTCCGTGCATGGAATACGAAGCCCAAGTTCTGTCATGTTGCACAGTTTGTTCTTTTTCAGGTATTGAGGAGTTTCTCTCCCACTGATATCCTGGAGGTAATAAATTTTTCCCTCTTCCTAAGGCGTTTTAACATTTATTAAGAATGTGTTCATGGTCTTACAAACTTTTGCTTCTTCTCATGAGATGATTTGTGCTTTTATCTCTGCAGATCAAGGGCATCAGTGAGCTCCTTGAGGGCCTTATTCCGTATTCACAGAGGCATTTCAGCAGAGTCGATAGACTAGTCTGAAGCACGTTTCTGTTGGACTATACACTGATGCGAATGTCCGTGGTAGATCCAGATGTAGATGTGGTTACAATCAAAGATGAAATGAATGGTTCATCTGTGGAGAACGGTGAACTTGCAGAGCCTCGGCCTGCTTCACCTGTACCAGAGAAGTCAAGCAAGAAGAGAAAATCCAGGAAATCAAGTAAAAAGGGCAAGGAGAAGAAGGTGAAGGTTGCCTCGAGTGGACACAGCAATGATGTCTCTGCTGAAGCCTGAATATCTAGCTGAGAATCTGGTTTTGGTTATGCGTGCTGCCAATTTTGTAGCTGCTGTTGCAACTGACGCCGCCCAATGACAGAGAATCGCATCTGATGTAAATGCTTTTTTTTTTTGCTGCGTTTATTAGAAGACCACAGTGCCTTTTTTTTTAGCTGCGTTTATTAGAAGACCACAGTGCCTTTAAGGCATCTCCTCTCTGTTCCAAATTTCCTTCTCAACTTATTGGAGTGTATGGTTTGCTATCAAAATTTGCGATGCCAAAGGTTTTGGTAAGCAAAAGTTGCTAAAAGTTGGACAAAAATATTTTACATAGATTTGGCAAGCCAAATGTGAGATGTTGCAAGTTTAGGTAGCAAACCAAATGCCTACCAAAAACTTGGTTAATGCATACCGCCTAACAAAGAGGCTCGTTTTGGTTACCTAGATTCTAGAAAATACACATCTCTACCACATAAATTAGTTTCTTTAAATTCTCCGTGAAATATATTTTGAGAACATATATTTATTTGGAGAAATAAGCACAACAAATAAATTCGAAATAAATGGCAGTAAGCACAAGAACACGTCTCCCTTTTATCTTAACAAATTATTAGACAATATAGGTTCTCCAATTATTTGTTGTTTTTAGTACTATATTGCCTCATTACAAGATAGTAAGGATGCCATCAAACCCCTTTAACCCCTTTCCCTGGAGGTGTTGTTTCGCCATCTTCCGGCCCCAACCGATTGCAAATTGTGCTTCCTCATCACGGGTGAGAGCATAATTTTTTTTTCGCCATTGGATCAATGACCATGCGCTGGAGTGCAGTGGCATTGCGAGCAATATAAAGTACAAGATCAAACAGACTCTTGTAGCTGTACACTCCAGTGATCCGAAGCACCTTCAGATGATTGTGTGGCCTCTGGGGCTCTGGGGCAGTATGTCCTCAAGTCCCACAGGATAAATTGCCCCGTGCCATGCCACTCCAGCTGCAAACAAATAATTCCAAAAAGTTTTGATATGGACTAGTAACTATTCATAGATGGCAATTAGCAGAATTATTTCCCATCTAAGAGTAAGCCGCATCATAAAAAGTTAGAAGTCTATTTCAGCCATACAACTCTGAACCTTTTTTTTTCCATCTAACTATCAATACCAGACAAATTTGACCATCTAGCTGGTTTATTTAAAAGGTGGTTTTGTATTATCTGAAAACAATAAAAACTGGCAACTGATAGATTATATTTTTAGAAATATTTTGGTATTAGTTTCATATGGACTAGTAATTATATGTAGATTGCAATTAGCAGAATTATTTCTCATCTAACCACATCATAAAAAAGTTAGGGAAAGTCTATTTCAGCCATACAACTCTAAACCCATTTTTTTTTACCATCTACCTTTCAATACCAGACAAATTTAGCAATCTAGCTGGTTTATTTAAAAGGTGGTTTTGTATTTTCTGAAAACAACAAAAACTGGCAACTGATAGATTATATTTTTAGAAATATTTTGGTATTAGTTTCATATATTTTGATTTAAAATGAATTAGTTATGATTTTTTTTAAACAAAAAAAACGCCTTTGAAACCACCTAGATGGCTAAATTTATGTTCAGCAAGCTGTCCATGGAGGACATTTTTCACAATAGCAGTATAGAAGTGCAAGCTAAACTTTCACAAATTTGAAGTATTCAGTTGCATAAAATGGAAAAAAAAGGTTACGCAACAGCTAAGCCGCCATAACACATGAATGATACACAAACATTATGATGGTATATATAACAAAAACTTCAATGGAACCATGAATAGAATATTGCTGAAGAGATAACTTACATGCAGTTCCAGTTCTTCCAAAACTGGAGCCAACTCCAAAAGGTAAGCAAGACGAATAATACCACCAGTGTGCTCATCATGATGTCTAAACATCTCCATGGTTAAGACAAGATGCTTGAGGTTGAAGAACACGGTAGGGCATTTTGTAAATTCTTTCATCTGACACATGAGGGCAGTCATTTAGAGAATCTATAATTAAAGCACATGAAAACGTATTAAATCTCCATTAGCATTGAGCAAACCTTGGTGTTTCCGCACATGATAAGTTCCATGTTGAGTTTCCGCGCATGAGGAATACCACTTGGAAGCACTGTGAAGGCATGGTTAAAACAATCAGACGATGCTAGCAGCGCAACAGTTGCCTCTGCTAGGGCCAAGCATCCATTGAGCACAATTGCCATCGGACTGTCGTGAAACTTGAATACATCAAAGTTTGGAACTTGGATCTCAACCTTTCGCATCCCTTCGCAATGTTGCACGCGCAAGTAGCGCAACCGATACAATGGCTGCGACGTTTGCAGGCCGTGCAGGGTACAACGCACGATGCTTAGCCACTCAAGAACGGCACACTCTGGCAACAGGCACTGGAGATGTCCAGGGACCGACACTCCGTCGAGCTTGAGCTTCTTGAGATTTGTGAAACATGAGGCACAATGATCTAACAGAAGAACCACTGGAACCGCTGAAATTATGCAGCGGAAAGATATACCTGCTGTCATGGTCATCGCCCCAGGACCCCCGAGAGAAATCAAAGATAAGGTACCTCGCTTTCGACTTTGCAGCGAAGCTAACCCATCTATCAACATGGCGGGTCTGTCGTTTGCGGAGCTTGAATCTAACTACAAACTTTTTCAGAATGGTAGACCTTAGCTGACGCAAGACACTGTTAACATTGCTGATGAACCTTTGTCGGTTCCTGACTGCATTGCTGCCGCTGCTGAACATCGTCTCCCTAGTGAACACCAGGTTCTCGTAGCATCTCCAAAGGCGTCGCCACTTACGAGACAGTATGCTCATTCGAGCAGCTTCTTTGAACTCCAGCCGTGACAATACATCACTTAGGATATCCTGTGGAGCATAGCGTATAACTCAGTCTCGACCAAAATCAATGTCCAGAAAGGAGAGGAGATTCGATAGGACTTACAGGAGGCAGATGCTGAAGCCGCAGAGCCTTGACTCTAGTCTTGTTCTTAGAACCGTTATTATCCATGTAGCCTTCAGGAGCCGGATGCCACTTTTTTGCTTTTATAATCCGCAGCGGATATCAAAAATCAAAACTTTAGGACAAATTAAACTTAGTAACCAATAAAAGAAGAATCGTACAAAATGTGAATAAGATCAGATTCGATTGGAGAAAATTTCCAACCTAGCTTTGATTCAACTACACGGGAGACGGGACGGGGACGCGGGATGGAGATTGGAGGCGTTCTGTCGTTGCAGGGAACAGAGAGTGGGCTCCGCGGTGGCGCTGTAGCCTGAGGGCGTTGTGGTTAAGGCGCTGGTTGTGGTCGGAGGGTCGGGAGACGACGGTTCCGAGGCTGTCGTGGTCGGGCGGGTAGGCGAATTTTTATTTTAATTAACATATTTCAATCAATATTTTAAAAATAACCTATCCAAAAATTATTTCAGACCTAACCCGTTTTGCTCGCGTACCACGGCCAAAGCATGTTGTGTACTACTCTCTCCGTGAGATGCATGCCTGTCAAATGAGTGCTGAGGCCATGTTCGCTTCTCTTGTAATCCATATTTTTTAGCTTATTTTTTTAGCCGGAATAATATTTTTCTCTCACAACAAATCAGGCGAAATAGTGTTTCGGCTTGTTTTTTCAGCGAAGCGAACGGGCCATAAGCGTCTTAGGTCGGACATAGCGAATCGTCGGACGCTCTCATCGCTCATTGTTTGTGTTTTTATCTCGCCACTCGCTCCATCCATGAGTTTTTTTTAAAAGTTTACCCATCCTTATCCCTTTCGTTTCCTGCTCACCTGTCCAGCGCCTTGCGGCTGCCTCGTCCTGGACGCGAACGCGAACTCCCCTCGCTGCTACCGCGCACCCCATCTGCTGCTACTCGCTCACATCCTCGTCACGTGCGTCGCCCGCTCCCTCCCATCATGCCCGCTAGTGCTAGTGGTGCTTGCTCGGCCTGTCGCGCGCCACTCGCCCAGCCAACCCAAGCCCAGTGCTGGTGGTCGCAATGCTCGTGCGCGCCACTGATGCTAGATGCTAGTGGTGCTCACGCCCCGCCACTCGCCGTCGGCTCCCACCTCGACGGTTGGAATTGACTAGCATAGGCGCTCTCCCTCCCTTGTGTTGCAAATATGTATTTCAAGTGTTTCAGACGTTTTAGAGGCATGTTATAGTTGTTTCATATGAATGTTGTAAAAGTAGATTGGGGGATGTTGCATAGATTGCAAATGTTTCAAAGACATGTTGCAACAGTTGTTCTAAATTTTTCATCCGTTCCAAACGTATGTTGCAAGCGTTTTGATCTGGATGTTGCATATGTTTCACAAATATGTTGCAACAGTATGTTCCAAATATTTCATCTGTTTCAGTCTTCCGTTGTAGCAAGTGTTTTCATGTTGCAAATTGCAAGTGTTGCATATGTTTTCACACATATGTTGCAAACATATGTTGCAAGTGTATTTTCTAGATGTTTTAGCTGTTTCAGACGTATGTTGCATTCAAGTGTTTCATGTTGCGTGTGTTTCATGCTGTTCAGAGAGTCAAGGACGCGGGGGAGTGATGGTGGCACGGCGCAGGCGCCGGGGAATGGGGCGCGACGAGCCGGTGGCCGATGGACGTGGCGCACGGCGCACTGGGGGCCGATGGTCGGGGGCATGACGGGGCGGGGCGAACGGATGGGGATGGGATGCGTGGATAGGGGCGGGTTGAATCAAAGCGGACGCCGTGGATTGCGAGCGACTTGTACGAACGCGATGATGGCGCGATGCGCATGCGGGCAGGGTGAAAGCTCTAGTTTAGTTTTGGTTAATTGATGAAACCCTAAGTGCTAACCTAGTTTATCAAGTGATCATGAGATATGTAGCAATTCTAAGTGGTGAAGCAAATAAAGATCATGCCATTATGATAGTGATGCCATGGTGATGATCAAGTGCTTGGACTTGAATGAAAAGAAGAAAGAGAAAAACAAAAGGCTCAAGGCAAAGGTATAAATGGTACG